GTTCTACAATTGGACTGTTCACCGTATGTTCTGGAGAAAATTCTGTCTTTTAAATCTTCTACGTTTTCTTTTTCGAATTTTTTTAATGACAGAAGAAAAAAAAAGTGAAAAAAATTTGAAACATTTATATCGAAGAATTTCTGCAACAGTTAACTTTGGTTTACTTTTTCTATAAAATAGTTTCTATTGAATCTTTTCGCTTTAAAAAAATACGCTAAAAAGCTGCGGAATTTTTTAATAGTCACCGAAACCAATAACTTTTCTAGTAAATGCGCTAGCTTCTCTATGCATTTTTTTCGTCCGTTTACACCTTACACTGATTGCAATGCAGGAGAGGAGATGAGGAATCGTCGAATCGTATCAATGACTCCAGTTCGCTGCCTCCTAGTCCCTCGCTACTGGTTGTTCGAACATAATCGTGGGAACATTTGGGAACGAGTGAAGCTCTTCATGAACATGAAGTACCCTTCCAGAGATCAACTATTCAAGAAGTTCGTTTCGGATCGAAGGTGAGTAATGATAAAAGTCAATTAATCATAAAAAATCTTACACTTATAATTCGATATTTACTTATACTTTTACATACAGGTGGATCAAGTACAAGAAAAATATGATGACAGACATTATAAAAAGGGGTAGAAATATTTATAATAAAACTACCATTCACGACGTGCCTTACTCTATCAGAGTCAATGAAGATATCGAAACTCTATAAGTACAAAATTTTACAGACGCTAACATAAGCTTAAGTACTAACTTAAGTAAGTGAAAAGTATTCATCGTATTTTCATCGTATTTTCATCGTTAGAGTTGTAAAAATCTCAGTGATTAATCATTATAATAATTTCTCTTAAAATTTCAGTGGGTCAAAAAATTCTAGTCCAATAATCAATAAAATTTAAAGATTAGCTCGCAGCTCGAGTGATGTTCGATAAATTCAATCGTATAAAAATGTCCGTAGAGATTTTAATGGCACCGGAAAATATAAAATTGCACGAAGAGACATTAATTCTCAGAGTAATACAAAAATTCACCATAAAATAATTTCATTCTCACCAGTTTGATCTTAATTTTTTTAAACTCAAGATTCGAGCCTGAGGTTCAGTATTGATTAAGGGGAGATCGAGGTAAAATTTCAAAAATATCGGACATTATGAAAGACCGTAAATATTTCGATATTTTAGGAAGAGCAACAGTGTTCACTGGAACACCAGGCTTTTGTATCCCACAGAAGAATATCAGAATGCTTCATTTTTGCTATTCATTTACAGTAGACTCTCGCTAGTTGCTCATCGAAAGGGCTGTAGGGGTACCATTTCCAAGAAATGAGCAACCGGCCCCCACTCTTCAACCAATGTCGCCGCAGATTCTCAGAAAAAGGAGAGGGAATGGATAGTTTTCTTTTCGAATAAAATTATTTGGACCTCTGTTTACGTACGGAGGCCAAAAGAACCGTAAGGCGGCCGAGAGTGGGGGTCAGCTTTCGAGCGTCTGGGAAGGGGATTAGGGGAAAACGAGTAACTAACGGGCGTGCAACTAGCGAGAGTTTACTGTATCAATTTTCTTAGGTTCGTAAAAATTAAAAATCATACTGTCAGGGTTTTTTTTATAAACTATTTGATTTGGAAATTTCCGCACGGGCTCCCCTCCGCAGTGAAAATGTAACTGGCATTGAGAACCTTTTAGGACTTGCACTTCTTAAATTGTTCTTTCTCGGTATGTTTTCCACCTTATCCTCATTCCGATTATTATCAATTCAATGTTTGATCACATCCTCTCGAAGGTCAAATAGCCTTGATGGCATCGGATTATACAGACTTACACGTGGAAGAATTCCATTTTCACCAGCATGTTACCTCAATCTGTCTGAAACGAGCTCAAGTCCTTGAAATTCGGAACGCAGAATCAGTACTGATCTACACTTAACTGAGTTGATGGAGTTCTTAAAAATATCTTCTCTCAAATAATTCTTCGTCCTCTGTATGTTAACGTAATTATGTTGGGTCTTGATAACCCCAGAGTTGTACTCATTATTCATCTTGTCATCATTTCGATTATGAAGATCGAATCCCATCAACGGCACCGAAACGTATAAAATATACACAAATAGATATCCTCGCAGTCATGCTGACATTCACTCAAATTCATTCAAATTTGCTTAACAGTAAAGCAAACTAAAACTCTCAATATTCAGAACTCAGGTTCATTATTAAACGGTCAGGAACATCTCTCTTCAGATCATTCTTGTTCCCCTGTATGTTGTTTTTATTATCCTGAGTACTGATGATCCTTAGATTGCACTCTTGTTCCTTATCATCACTACGCCTATCACCGTATGCATCTTTGATCTCCTCCTAGTGGAGATCACATGCCCCTCATGGCACTGGAGTGTACAGAATTGGAATCCAATTTTCATCAGAATTTGATCACAATTCGTCTGAAAACAACTGGAATAAGTGGAGTTGTTAAAAATATCTCCTCTCAAATAATTCTTCGTCCTCTCCACGTTGATGTGATAGTCTTGATAGTCCCAGGGTTGTACTCATCATTCACCTTATAGTTATTTCCACCAGGAAGATCAAATCCCATCAACGGCACCAAAGCGTGTAAAATTACAACAATAGATATTCATCCTCACAGTCATGTCAACATTCGTCATAAAACAATCTCAATTTCAACAGAATTTCATGAAAAAATTGATCGAAAAAAAGCTAACTCAAACGCTCGATATTCGAGGCTCAGGCTCAATATTGAGCAAAACGTAACTGGGATTGGTGAAACTGTCAGGAGAGTCCCTCCTCAGATCATTCTTGTTCCTCGGCATGTTAACGTAATTATCCTGAGTTTTGATGATCCCAGGATTGCACTCACTCTTTCCCTTATCATTACCCGGTCTACCATCGATCTCATCTTTGATCTCGTCCCCATTTAGATCGAAGGTTTTTAAATTGTGTGGTGTATTGCAGTACCCAGAGTCCCTCTCGATATTTTCTTTCACAGGAACTGAGTTCGTCTTCTTCATCGCTTGTCGCTGTCTGGCGAATTCCGCCCGGCGTTCTGCGACGTTTATCGGTTGCAAGTAGTTATCATCTTCACTGTTCGGCAGCATTGGAGAGAACTCCACCCCCTCTGAGTCAGAGTCCGAGTGGACCTGGTGTTTTTGAGGTGTAGGGAACTCGAAATGCGTCCTTTGACCAGGAACTCGAGGACTGAATATGTCGTCCGTGTCATTCTTGTGAACTGATGGAGTCATGCAGAGGTAAGGATCATCGGCTGTACTGGTCTGAGGCAAACAAGGAGTATTTACGTAGTGGGCAGGGGAGGAGAGAGTCTCGTGGTCAGGCGCTGACATCATTTTCAGATAGTCGTGCTTGATCAACAAATTCATGTCCATGTACGGTGTGTTCAAGTCCACGTAATGCATCTTGACACTGTCATCCAACAAGTTTCCGATACTCTCAGCCAACTCCGTGAATGTCGGCCGAAGCGTCGGTTTGGCCTTCCAACATTGAAACATTATGTCGTAGACGTCATCAGTCGCGAATTCAGGCTTTTCCATTCTGTAGCCCTCGATCAGCCTCGTGTACTGCTTCTCAGCCTCCATCCCTGGGTAGGGGGTCTTCGCGAGGGTGAAGAACTCCCAGAGAACAATTCCGAAGGACCAGATGTCCGACTGCGTCGAGAAGATTCGGTCTCTTATCGATTCTATCGCCATCCACTTGATTGGGAGGGGCGCGTCACCCTTCTTCTTGTAGTTGTCGTCTTTGTACATGGTTTTAGCGAGACCAAAGTCACAAATTTTTACGACGTTGTCTTCGGCGAGGAGGATGTTTCTCGCTGCTAAATCTCCGTGGAGTACCTGAGCAGAAATTTATTCATGAAGGTGAGAAAATTTTGAAGGGAAAAGATAAACCGTAATAAGTCGAATGCGATATTTTTCAGAATTAGATAGTAGTTTCAGAAACGAGTTTAGTTGGGGTGACAAGGGACCTTCCATTGTAGGCCACAAAATTTTCTACAAAGAAGGTCTTTTGATATCTTCGAATACATAATGTAGCGATGGGATGGAATAAGTAGATTTTATTTTTTTTTTTGTTGGTATCAATGAAATTCGTAGGCAGTTGTTCATTTTTCGTAAGAAATGTTTTTTTTTTCGAAACAGCGGAAATTACTAAGGAAGTGAAAGATAGAGGTTCAATGGAGATGATTTCACATATAAGGATATCCAAGGATGTTTTACAGTTTGATACAGACCACCCTATAGATTCAACTACTTTCAATCATGAAAGTTGTCAATTAAATTGCCTGAGAAAAATTTGAAAAAATCATGCATATTCAGGGTCATGTTTAAACATTCGTTGTTTATAAATAAAGAATTGAAATTCTTTAAACTTAAAGGTGTTATTTATGATGAGAAATATTTGATGAAAATGAGTTTAATCTACAGTGTGGTTTATCCGAAACTGTAAAAGGTATTCAGATATCTTCAACAACGTTTTATCATTTAGCTGCTGATTTTTTAATCAGACCAGTGTATTCAATCGTTTTAATTAGAAAATCTACCTTTCTCTGACTAAGATACTCCATTCCTCTGGCAACTTGGAACGCCCAGGACAATAGATCCTGCGTGCATATGGGCTTGAGATTACTATCTTTGTAATCCCCCCGATAATTCGATCGCCAGGCAGGCTGAATGGAATTATTGCTAAGTACCATTCCATCCGGTGTCATACTCACACCCTGTGAATCAGGGCCCGGGCTGTATGGCCCTGAATCGCCATTGGAGTTCAAGCTAAGACTACGGGAAAACGATAATGCCGCATATTTTATCCTGCTTGATGATAAGAAGGTAACAGGAACGTGTTAAACCACAGACCACATGCACCCAGTCCCATCCAAGGTTTTTATAGCGTGAGGTCATCAACGAAAAATCACCAGAAGACCATGAAATTCATTCGAAATTATATTCAAAGCATTAGTTTTGAGTTTTACTGAATTGAAGAATGTATGCAAAATTGATTAAAAAATCTGAGAGAATTCTATTAGAAATTTTATTAGTTCTTTTGCCGAAAAAATCATAGATTTCGATTTTTTTATGACAAAAGGTATTCTTTTGAGATTTTTTCTTATAAAAATTTTAATTTTTAAAGTCGCTTATTTATTTATTTTTGAGGACTTTTGTTCGCTCATTAAGAATAAAAAATTTATCGCGATGAATATCTATAAGAAAAAATCTAAAAAAAAACATCTCAAATCTGGTTAATTTTTTTTATACGCTCATTAAAAATTAAAAATTATGCCAAGAGACTTCTATGCGAAAAATATCAACCGAATAAGTTTAACAAAAAAATTAAAATCGATTGAATTTTTTCAGTTAAATATTTTTCTACTGAGTTACATTATTGACGAAAAATAAATAGCATTGTATGTTAAATTTGTTGCTCATTTAGCAGTACTGTACTACTACCAAGTTATCTACAGGCTACTGAAATTTTCATTTCAAAGCACTGACCTATTATTGCTTCCCACGCTGAGAGTTCGATTCAATAAATCGGATCCTATAGACACATCGATTTTCCCCGTGGCTGGATCTATTTGATTCACAAAGTCCGATCTGTGCCGTAACAAATAATTATGCAAATTTCCGTATCTACAGTACTCCACAATTACCAACAGTTCTCCTGGAATTTGAAACAACATTTATGAATATATAATTCCTCTTAATTGGTATTGACGTGGCGTTGAGATACTAACGTTTAGCGATATTTTTAGTACAGGCGCCGAGGAGATTGACGACATTCAAGTGCTTGCCAAGGTGAACCATGATCTTGAGCTCACTGGCAAGTGCTCGAATGTGAATAGACTCTGTGGAACGCTTTACCATTTTCACAGCAACTGTTGTGACGTCTTCCTCTTCAACTATTCCCTGGGCTTCAGCTTTCATTACGACACCGAATGCACCATGTCCCAATTGTTTACCTATTTTTTTGGAAATTATTAAGAAAGTTATTACGACAGAAGAACATCTGATTAGAAGTTCACTAGCTTAAGGATATCCAAGTATCTTCTATAGTTTGGTACAGACCACACCATAGATTTAACGATTTTCAATCATCAAATTTGCCAATTAAATTGCCTGAGAAAAATTCGAAAAAATCATGAATGTTTGAATATGTTATTTTGACCGTTGTAATTATTTCAAAGATCAGATGACAACTGGGTAGCCTCACGGATGAAAAAATTTAATAAAAAATCCTAGTGAATTCATTAGAAACTTCTATTGGATGTCTATTAAACTTTTTATTTAATTTCGGCCGAAAAAGTCAATAGAATTCGATTTTTCTACATCTTATTCTATTGAGGTATTTTCTACAGAATTTCTTTGGCCCAAATTTTCTAAGTTGTTTTGTTTGATTTCTTGATGAGAAGAAAATAAAAAGAGGAAAAAGAAAAATACAATAATGAATAGAACAGGAATTCACCGAATTTCAGGCGTTCTCTCGGAAATTCCCATTTCTTATCATATGGCAAAAGTTCCGCTTGATCATCTACGGTCAATTCAGAGTTCAAACACTCCAACGCACCCTCCTCGAAGTGAGTCAAACCTGCCTCCATCAATTGCTTTCGTATGACCTGCAATATCATATTCATTAAAACACTATCAATGAGATAATCATCGTCAAATTAATTAACCCGTTGGTTCAATGGGTTAACCGAACTCAATTAATTTACCTTCTCTCTATGGACCTTGATGGAGAAGAATACAACAAGAACAACCACGAGAACTATCAAGAAAATTATTAAAATGATAAGGCCCTTCGACACTTCCTTGCTCTTGATCGTTATCTTCTGCCAGGATGATACCTCGCCCATTTTATTCTCCGCTTTACAAGTGTATGTTCCACTCACTCGTTCGAGTAAATGTTCAATGTGCAGGGATTGGTTTTTATTGATTAGAGTATAATCTTGAGCGGCTTCGGAGGATGGATCACTGAGATCAATAGGTACATCATCCTAGAGATCAGAGGAATCAATTGAGTAAAATCAATCTTGTCATATTTAGCTTCCTCATAAGGGACGTTAGTGTAATCACTCCGGAAATCAATTTTCACACATTGTGATGAAAAATAAGGCTCGACAAGTCGACACTCGTGCGAAAAGTGTTTTTTGACTCTTAGACGGGCCGCCGTCGCCTTCGGCGAGCGCTACACACGTCCCACGGGTCAAAAACACTTTTACGCACTCGTATCGAAATATACTATTTCGATTTTCCATCAAATGTTGACATTTCAAGGTCCCTAGACTCATATTCCGTCATTCCCGGAAACATGTCTATCACTTGTGCGTAATGTGAAATTTATACACATGCTCACTTTATACACATTGTGATGAAAAATAGGGTTCGACACTGGTGGGAAAAGTGCTCTTTGACCTTTGAGAGGGTAGCACTCGCCTTTGGCAAGCGCTACACACTTCTCCCGGGTCAAAAATAGTATATTTCGATACGAGTACGTAAAAGTGTTTTTTAAAGCGTGAGAGATGTGTAGTGCTCGCCGAAGGCTAGTGCTGCTCTCTCACGGGTCAGAGAACACTTTTCGTACGAGCGTCGAACCCTATTTTTCATCACAACGTGTGAAAAGTGTAATTTTGCGCATAAGTAAAAAGTGGAATTTTACCCCTCCAATTGTCGAAAATAATCGAAACACAGTTGAACGATTGTTTCACGCATTGTATAAAGTTCTTGGGGCTAATGTCACTGTTTTTGGACACGACTGCGTAAAGTTCAAGAGCATGCGTAAAGTGAATTTCGAGTGCGTAAAGCGAAGCTTACAAAAATTATTATCTATTGAGACTACCTTTAACCACGTGATCGTAGGCTTTGGCATTCCACCAGCGAAACAATTCAAGACTATTGCCTCCAATGTGTCTATTCCAGCGCTATAAATATTCTCCGATTTATTCAGATTTGTTTCGTTCAGCAAGCGAGGAATGTAAGGATCTAGAGAGGACGAAAAAAGATAATCCAGTTTATTAATTAATCATTAACCAGTAAGAAGATCCATTTATTGGTAACGAGGTTGATGGGGATGCTTCAGTGAATGGGAAAAAGTTAAAACGAACTCACAATTCGTCAATAGTTGAAAAATTATGAGTGGACGCAATGGAAATTTCGTCTGTTCGTGAATAACAGACTGTTTGAGGAAGTGGAATTTCATGGATGATCCAGTAGTACTTTTTTGTCCTTTCGTATACCCTCTCGGGTTTTTACGATTAGTTCCCTTCCCATCACCCAACCCCCTGTACCGCATTCGCCGAGGGCCAAGGAAAAACCTCACTTGAGAGAAAAGCCTTGACCAGGTACAGTCGTCCCTTGCGAGACTACCGCTCGGACAATGAAACTGTGAGAATTAGAGCGTTAAAAAATCATTTTGACCCCCCCTCCCCCGCCCGGGAATCGAACCGGAGTCGTCTGCGTGCCAACCCCGCGGCTCTAACCACACAGCTACCGCCGTCGGTGACCATCTATTAGTAACTTTCAGAAGAGTGGCATTCAACTGGATTGCGCGGTGAACTTTTGCTGAATAATTCACTCATTTTTGCTAAATAATTGAAATTTACAGTTTCCAGTTTTCTTATCAAAATGTCATTCTTCAATCAAGCGATTTTCTTAAATTTCAATAGAAAGAGTGCTTTTTAAGAATTTTCAGTATGTATACTGGAAATTTCTACCGAAATTTTCAAAAGTGTGGAATTTTTTTGACCTTTAAATTTTGACCCTCGAGATTAGACCCTTCGATTTTGGTTCTTGTTTTAACTCTTATATTTTGACCCTTAGATTTTTTATAATTCGTACCACTGGCAAAAGAGTGAACTATTAACAATTAATATATGAATTAGTTTGTTAACTCTAAGTGGAACCTTCTCTCAATAATTTTCAGCATTTATCTTTGAATTAATTCAAACAGCTCTTTTTAATTAATTCAAACTAAAACGAGATGAATATTACTCCTCAACCCTTTCCTCCTTTTGGGCACCTTGTTTTCTCCTCATTACTGTTTCGTCTTCTATGAAGAAAGAGTTCAACGAAAATATTGGAAAACCAGGTGGGTAACAAAGGCTCAATAATTGAGTAAATATAAGTACCATAAATTCGAAGATGGTAAGATTCATCTACCCTCACATCCGGAAGCATTGTCGCCTGGCAAATATAATTTTGATCATCCGCTTTGACCACTGAATTTATGCGCAGAATCGCCTGATGCGTATATTCTGATTGAGTCTGATCAAGGCTAATTCGATCGCTCTTGGTGACGTCTGTCTCATTCTCGTACAACCATTTGACATCATCAGTATAATTATGAATCGGCGCGACACATTTCAGCACAACGTCATCTCCAATGGTGACTTTCTCCTGCTCCGGAGAAATTATCCCGAACCCATGTTCCACCTCTGAAGAACCAAGAATAATATTTTTAATAATGAATGGTAAAGTTTTGTTTCATTTACGGAGCGTTTAGTATTCAGGAGACATCTCTCACCGGATACAGAAATTCTTTGCACCACAGAATCACACCCATGATCGTTACAAGCGGAACAGTTGAGGTATCCGCTGGCATTTGTCCACAGTCTAACAGTTGAAAAAGTCTCGGTGAATTTGGATGTTTCTGTGGCGTTCTGGAAAATATGAATATTCATTAGTCATCCCTGAGGTCATAGGTGGGATAATAGGAGAGGGCCGGGCAAGATGGTCGTTTTCAAATCTTCAAAAACTGATCGATCTAACCATTTGCATGGAACAATTTAAAAATCCTTCCAGCCAATGTACCGTCATGTGGAGTGAATAATAGGCAGAATAACACCTTAAAAATTCCATTTTGCCTACGTTTTACATGTGTTTCTTTTCAGCTAAGACCCCACAGAAATCATCCAAAATGAATGAAACTGATTCCAAGTATTTTCATACCAGTAGCGAAGCGCTAGAACGGCTCAAGTCGATATTGACTATTGGCCAGTTTTGAATGAATATCTCGTATATAAATAAAAAAATAAATAAAAATGGAATTGATGAAAAATTGAATATTTGTCCAATAATTTTTAAATGAAGTACTAAAAAAAATTATTGAAAAAACATCTGGAGAGTTTGACATGACCGATCCCTCATGCGAATCGGAAGCTTAATACTCTATTATACTATCTTTCAAATTGTATTTTGAATAAATATATCATAGCATCGTATTATATTTTTAAAAATAAAGTACTGTGTAAAAAAATATTTGCAATTTTTCGGTGTGGCGTTTTTTTCAACATCAAGCTAGAAATATTTATATAATTATGCCGTGTGGAAATGTCGAAAAACTTGATTAATTTTGCATCTCTTGATGATCATATGCGGGCGCTCTTTCTCGATGGATTAAAATTAAGGGCATCCATTGCACCGCATACAATTATATCAAATGTGTTAGCCGTAGATTGGTCATCATATGAGGGAAACTCCACCGCACGTCATTTTTCTTTGATTACAATTGACTGGCTAAACGGAAAAATTTTTAAAAAAATTTACTTTGTCAATTGAAGTGTCTGAGGAATTATAGTAGTTTTCCGAACTACATATTTTTCGAAATTCCCGAAGAAAACAAATTATTTCGAACAGAAGAATTATTTTTTCCCGTGTTAAATGAAATTACCCATCACGCGACGTTGCCGGAAACTCGCTAAACGCGCCCGGGCAGTGTAGAGTGAATTCGGCAATGATAGAGCCTAAATAACACGGCGGGGAATCCCCGCGGAGGTGACCAGACTAGGGTTATAAAAATGAGAATGCCACTGACCGGACGTATCTCCGTCATTGTATTGAACGCCACAAATGACCAAAATATCTTCGGCGCCGGGTAAGCGGCAGCATGACAAGTAGTGTTCATCCATGTGTTGGGTAAATAATATACTTGAATTGGGAACTCATCGACGTAGGGTCTCGCTGTAAAAAGGCAAACCAATTAATTGTCTTATTATCAATAGCTCTGTCGATTGTACCCATAAAGATTAATTACATGTGACCTCCAGCGAGAAATTGAGTGTCACATTGGTGATGTATGAGTGTTCATCACTGTTTACTGCACGTAAGACGTAGTGCCCCATGTCCGAGATCTTCAGGTCTTTTATCATCAATATCGTTGAATCACTTGAAGTCATAATTTTGTGTCTGGATGAAGTGTTCACTTCGTATTCCCTGTTTGCATCGATGAAAGTCCTGCAATCGAATCATCTCCGTAACAATAATTATATTATTAGAATAATAACAATATTAGAATAATTACATTACTAGATTATATTACCTTATCTTAATTTATTTTATTGTTTTCTTTCCAATTTTTCTTTGTGGTTAGATTAAATTAAATTTATTGGATTCTATTCCCATTGTAGTATACAAATTGTGGGAGCAGTTGTTCTCATTTTCAAATGAAGAGATGTTTATGTTAAATAATATCAGTATAATATAATAATTTCTCTCAATGAAATCAGATCATGAAAACGAAAAATTTCATTTTTCATGATCTGATTTCATTGAGAGGAAATGAGAAAAATGCAGGGAGAGATGATCAGCAAGAAAATGAAAGAAAACGATTTTTTATTTTTCTGAAAAATTTCAAAAATGATTTTTTTTTTAAATAACGAAAAAATATTAATATGTTTTCTTTCTATGATCTAATTTCAATGGAACAAAGTGAAAAAAAGAACAGAGATACGTGATCAGCAAGAAAATGAAAGAAAACGATTTTTTATTTTTCTGAAAAATTTCAAAAATGATTTTTTTTTTAAATAACGAAAAAATATTAATATGTTTTCTTTCTATGATCTAATTTCAATGGAACAAAGTGAAAAAAAGAACAGAGATACGTGATCAGCAAGAAAATAAAAATTTCAATTTTTCAATGTCTCCGGATAGTTTTAAAATTGATATATTTTTTCAACTAATGAAAGAATACCCATCAATTCAATTTCTACCCTCACATTTTGTCAGAATACATTGAAAAATAGCAAAGAATAAAAATCGGAGATGAAAAATTTTATCGGATTAATAGAATGTAATAATTAGAACAATAATTCTAATAATATAAATATACATTCCATCGCGAAATGCCTTCATACCATGTAAGTATTGGCGGGGGATAAGCGTCTACTTTGACGACCCACGTGATTTCTCTTCCTTCCGGTAAAACGTAATGTGTATCTTCTTTTTGAGGCGTCAGCTTGATGAATTTGTAGTTGGGATCTGGTGGGCGTAAAAATTATTATTGACGATGGTAATAACTAGACAGATAGATAGGAAAGGATTTCTTAATGGCCTCACGGTCAAAGATCCCCTGAGGCTATATGAGAGTGAGTCACTGATGTTATCATTAGAAATTATAATTCAATTGCTAATAAAAAATCAGAGCGATTACACCCAAGCAAAAGTACTGATTCATGTCGACGTCGGCTTAATTCTAGTCGATTTTCGAAGTAATTCAAGTCGAGTGACTCGGACTACAACAATCCGAAGACGAAATATCTCAAACCGACATCGGCTTGATTCAAATCGATTCTTTGGCTTGATTCTAGTCAAATCGACATTGGTCAAAGCCGGAGAGATAGAAAAAAAATTTAATTTCATGAAGTTCCATAGCCTTTTTTATGAAAATGATATTAAATTCGATTCACGGAAAAAATCATTAAATTTCAAATTTTATAGACTATTCCGTTATTTGAATGCCAACCAATAGAAATTCAGTATTTGACTTTTTTTAGTCGCATGGCCACTTTAGATGAAGATTTTCTGTTGAAATGAATGAATAAAGATCTAAATGATCTAAATGAATAAAGATCCAAATGAATGTGGCTTCAACTCGCAAAACCTCTTCTCTTTCCCCATCAATGAAATCCCACTTCAATAATCCTCCCCCCTCCACCCCTAATTAAAAAATGGGAGGAAGATTTTCCAAATGAGCTTCAGTTTGGGTTCAGTTTGAGTTTTAACAGGCACAATGAATACGAAGTAAAATCCATTTGGAAAACCATCCTGCTGGTTATTAATTGATCACCTGATTAATTAAAACACTGGCTGTAACCCCCTTCCCCCTGTGGAGGCTCGCTACATCTAACGTGAGAAGACCGAATTCACTTCTCATACGCACTCACACCTGCACCCAAAAAAAAGTTCTGAGTCAAGCCTGGTGTAACTCAGACTGAATCATACCGGGAATCGACGTATTTCTTGTCGAATTGAGGGCATGAATCAAGTCGGACACGGACAGATGCAAACCCGAGGGGCTACTCACTCCCGAAATCATGACGCCACTCTGGCATGAAATCCCCGAGTGGGAATTCCGGTCGGGTCTTGATCAAGTTTGGATCAGGTTAGACCTGATCATTGATCAGGTATTGATCAAGTTGACGGATCCGGTCTTGATCAGACATGTAACGCCTCTGACCAATCCGTTTTTGATCAGGACGAATGGATCCGAACTTGATCAAGTCAACTGTATGAAAACCGGATGACCTGTCTGCCAGTATCAATAACAATTATCAATGATAATTAATCCAAAACAAAAGATAATTCAATTCTTTCACCGTAGGCCGCCTCCCTTAATGAATCTCTACTGTTATTACCTCTAAAAAAGCTTTTTATTTTTTTTACCGATGCTGGGGATTAAACCGGGGACCCTATGATTGCTAATCCTATGCCCTAACCACTACGCTATCGGACTATTACTATTGAGTAAACTGTATATTGCCTATATGATTTGTATCGGGCTATTCGTTGAATTTACGATTATTCCTGATCTCGTGGATGTGCGTGTGTATTCTCAGAGATAAAATATGTTCAATTAAATTTTTATTCATTTTATTAATGAATAATAATAATGATAATAACAATAACACTAATAAATAAATAGACATTTGGTGATTTTTTTCTCAAGATTATGTGCGTGTAAGTTTGATACTCCTCTAATACGTATTTACGGCATCATCATCCCTCCCTTCTGTACATTTGAGAAAGGCTGGCTGTTAATTAAATTGATTAATTCAATTGAATTCATTAAATTAAATGAATTTAATTTAATTTATTTCAACTATAGTATAATGATCCTTTTTAAAGATGGAAAATAATTATTGATTATGGTTGATGAAACTTAATTTGAATAGTATAATAATAGTTAATTAAATTATCCGAAAAACTTATTAAAATTAATGTCAGGTGGACCGGATCTGAATCTGATCATTTTCTCTTCAATTGACCCCGTTCAAATGCCGATCAAAGACATCAAATCCGAATTTGATCGAATTGAGGTCAGGCAGCCGATCTCAGGGTGAGATCGTGCCTATCTGATCAGAACTTGATCTGAATCATCCTGCATTTTTTCGGATCCGATCTACTGGATCAAAACTTGGTCAGGTTCTCATCAGGCATCATCTGATCATGTCTACCTGATCAGAACTTGATCTGAACCCGCCTGTAGTTTTTCGGATCCGATCTGCTGGATCAGAACTTGGTCAGGTTCTCATCAGGAATCACCGGATCAGTCGAACCTTACAAAAACCTGATCAAGTTCTGATCGTGCTTCAGGTGGGCCTGAAGCAATTTCCACTCGGGTCATTCCGATATTACTCCCAAATCACGTAAAATCACCGAAATCAAATGATTTCAGTTCTACGAAATCATTTTTAAAATCATCTCGGAAATCACATGAAATCATGTGAAATCAATGAAATGACCAAAATCAGTGACACACTAGTGCAAGTCATTCGTGATGTTGAAATTGACACGCCTGCCAACAATGATAGTAAAATGCCGTATTCACTGCCATAGTAAAATGGTAAAATGGACCGCTTTTCATCGTCATTAGCTCAAAATTGGCGGAGTGGAATCAAACGAGTTCGTTATTATTTGCCAGTTATTATTGCCGGTTCTGATTTTCATAATTTGACACAACTCGTTTTGCTCCACCTACTACTATTTATCAACTTTATTTTTCTGAAATCACTTAATGAAATCATTCGAAAGCATGAAATCACTTCGCGTGACGCTCGAAATCACCGAAATCATTTTTTTCGAAATCACTAAAATGACGACTGAAATCACCCGAAATCGACTTCATTTCGAAATCATGGTGTCACTCAATTATGGAGTGAATAGCCCCTCGTGCAAACCGGCATATCGGTCTGATTCAAGTCCATTTTTTGACTTGATTCAGGTCAACTTCAGCTTGATTCAGGTCGATTTTTCGGCTTTGATAAGAAATGAATACAAACCATGAATCTTCAGAGTAGTATTCGTTGACGGAGTACCATGGTGAGTCAGTAATGTACAACTGTACACTCCAGCATCCTCATTGTGAATATCTGCAATTTGCAGCTCGCTAATTGTCCTCACCATCGACGCACTCAGATTCTCTACGTAGGACTTTATTTTGAATCGGGAACTCTGTGGCGAGAAAAATTGAAAAGTCATTCAAGGATGTTTTACTCGCCCCCATGATTGCATAATTGGGGAATTTCTTGATCATGGAAGCATTTTACATACGTGATTTGGTATAGTCCAATTTAACGAATAAGAGATGTCAGTGCTCCTCATCTCAATGCTGCAGTTAACTCGAAGTGTTTGACCGAGTGTGACGTGTCGCAGTGCAGATTCGTCTATGAGGGGAGGAACAAGATCCGGAACATCTTCAGGGGATCAAAAATTTGACGAATATTAGTAAAACATACTAGAGGTCTAAGAATCCTTGAAAAATGATTCAATTCCATCGATTCATTAGCAAACAATTAACGAAGAATTTGTCATATACACACAGGCCCGGTCTAAGAATTGCATTATCGGATTTTTTGAATCATAATGAGTCGATATAACATGAAAAATCTAAAACTCAAATTTGAAAGTTCACAAAACTTCAGTTCGGAAGCAAAAAGTTTCTGGTTTCCAGTATCACGATACTGAAGGTCACAACAATGTTACTGGAATCCAGAACCTTTCGGGGATGCAAACATCACGTGACTGGGGAGGGGAGAAGGTTCTGTAATTTTTAACGTTTTGTGACGGAGCGGCGAAGGGGTTGGACGTTAATTTAAGAACCTCAAGATTTTTATTTTAAGAACTCCAGGGTTTTTTTTATTGTATCCTCCAGAGTTTTTTATTTCACTACCCAATCATTTTTATTTTGACTAGTGATGCCGCAAGAGATTTCACGACCCGTGTAGAAATCCCTTCGCTCAATCTCCGCTTGCTATACAGTCAAGCCGGGGCTCAGCGATCGGTTCAAACGCGTGAGCGGAGGTTCAGCCGCGTCCCCACTTGAATTTCTAGACGGGGAGACATCACGAGCCAATACGATGGAGGGATTGTCTCGGTCTCAGTGAACAAGGAAATTTTCGGTCTCGTCTCAGTCTCAAAATACGCAGCATCGGCTCCTCCCGTGATGGCTCCGAGTCAATTTATCTCATCTCGGGCTCAAGTTTTTCGTATTTTTTAATGTAAAATCTCGGTTCTTGTCGCGGTTTGTCTCGTCTCCGTTTTCTAGATATAAAAAACGCATCATTACGAGAGGAGTCGATACTGCGTGCTTCGAGATTAAGACGAGACCAAAGATTTCCATATTCATTGAGACCGAGACCATCTCTCCAAAGTATTGTTTTCGTTGTACCACATTGACATCAAATGCTGCCCTCCAGTGACCGAAATTCCGATGAAGGAAACACTCCTCCAAATCGAGCTTGTAAATGCATCGGGTATTTCCCTCAACCTTCCCTGCAAACTTGACACTCTCGTTTGTTTGCAACGAAGCTATCGGGAAATACCCGATCATTTTGAAGCTCTCGGGGTATTACTACTGAATAACTCATCCGGATTGTGACAATTGATGATCAAGATTGTGAAAATTTGTTTTGATCAACTAAATCTTGATTATTGATTATAACAAAATGACAAATGTATTGTTTTGAAAATTATCTATTCTCATTTTAAGAATCTTTCAAGTTGCTTCAATTTTTCAAGTCTTTTCGGCGTTCAATTGAGGAAAAGATTGTAACAAGAATGGGGTTGATCATAGAAATCTGTTTTTTATCTCCGCAAATTAAAGTTGGGTCCGATTTTATTCAAGAACACTAGATTCAGTTCGACTTGAACCAAATATCAATCCGTTGTTACAATTTGAATCAATTAGATAACGACTTGAAACATTTATCCTTCAAATAATTCACTTTTTACTCACAGCAAACACGAAATTTGAATTGATGGTGTCAAAAACGTACTTGAATGATTACTTTTTTTTACAAAGTATATAAAAATATCACGAATAGCCAGAAGGAATAAGAAACAGCGAGTTTTGTAATTCTGCACAAACTTATTCCTCATTCTTTACTTTTTCGTATTATGCGTTAGCCATGAATGTTTCAAGTATACTAAAAATTTTATTTTTTCTATTATTTAAGAACGCACTGTTGACTTCCAGGATATACGTCAGCCCTGCAGGTTCGTCGTTATCCACTTTTATTTTGCACACATACCAGCCACTATCTGGTATAGCAGCATGATGTAGTGTGAATCCTACTCTCGGGTCAAATGAAATTTTTTCCCCGATTTCAAGTTCCTGAAAATTCAATTAACTGTTAGTAACAAGAACAGAGGATTATATTCAACATCAATGATGAAAAAATTGAGTTTTACCTCATCAGTATTTTTCTCAAGAATAACGTGGTAATCTGGAGAAGTTGGCCGACATGGAATGATCACTGAGACCCCGCTCTTGCTGTGTATGGCTTCGACATCTGGACTTGATACGAACAAATTTGCAGTAGCTGAAAAAGAAACACTCAGATCATGATGTTATCACACTTGCACAAAATTTTGCAGAGAGAATTTGGTGAAGATTCCATACATCTCACATAAACGTAGATCCATCTGACGTTGGGCTGGTCGTGGACATTTTGGTCGACAAAGACCCCAACGTCGGCGCAACCATAATAACCGGTGTCTCCATATATCGTTTCTGGTTTTCGTAAAGTAGCGTAATGTTTACCGTCGATCTCCCAAGAGTTTATGTCCACTGCAGATGTCGTTATCTATGGATAAAGGATTTTGTTTCAATATTCACGTATGAGAACTCAATATAAAAAGCTAACACTTACCCATGGAGATAAAAATCAGACGATAAATTATTGTACAATCTAGGTAGAAGAAGTAGAAGAAAAACGAATCAAGGTTTGCTGTATTTTTCTTGCAATTTTTCGTTAATTTTTTTCTCCAGGAACTAAAAAATTCAATTGAATTTCTAATGAAACTTTGGATGAATTTTTTTCCAATTCGGATAGAATCCCATCGAAATGCAATTCTGAATTTTATTCTATTGACAATTTCGCGACTGTCCACGCGATTTGTTGTCATATATTTGGCAGATGAAAGTCAACAGGCTCTGATTTTTCGATATAATTTATTCTCTTGGGTTTATTTTTATGGAAAAATGAATTTTCTAATTTTCTTTGCTGTATTTATTTTGTTCTTCAGGCTCGGCTCCATTATCTGCCAAACGTTATCTATTTTCAACTCGATGCCCCGTCACTCAAGGACACACGAAAATTCTGAATTTAGTATTAAAGAAAAGTAGAAAAAAATCCTGGACATTTTGAAACAGCGTTTGTAATTAATATTGAGGAATTATTTCAATAGAGGAGACAGGAATATTATATAATTACCATGGCGGCCTGTGAGTCGTCACCATGGGGGAGGAAAGACCAAAGAATAAATTCTTTGGCACAGCGCAATAAAACGGTTGTATGAAAAAAGGCTCTTTGAAAAAATTTGTACCATTTTTAAGAATTTTTCGATCACAGTTTTACGATGAATTACTAATCACTTACGCCAATTGATAATGGATCCTCCATTAATAATTGATCCTTTATTGATAATTGATCCTCCATTGATAATTGTACTGGCGATCAGCTATCACTTCTGTCGAGAATTGAAAACAGGAAAATCGCTCTTTCTTCCTTTTTTGTGCCCCCGAAAAAAGTGACGGTTGATGGACAGTATAATTTTCAATTGAGGAGATTGGTGCAAGTGATTAGTAGTTCATCGTAAAAGTGTGATTAAAAAATTCTTAAAAATTTCAGTTTTGAGGCTTTCGCGGCCAACATTATTATTTATTATGGCTTCTGCATGGATGCCGTGTCTAGATTCAGCTTCTTGCCGACGTTTCGCAAACATTTCAGTCTGCATCATCAGGGCTAGGTTGCTTCGATTCTCAGTACAGGCGATAACAGGGAGTTGAGGGATGGGAAGGGATCAAATCGGAAAGACCCAAAAGGGTATACGAGGGAAAAATATTTATTCAAAACCTATTTGCTTTTTCAATCCAAGTTCTGAGTTGAAAAACGCACGGCATTATTGCGAAATATTTCATAGGATTATTTGAAATCGTATGAAATTGCGAAATTTTTAATAGGATTCTATCAGAATTTGAATGGAACTCTCATAGAAAGCCAATAGAATTTTCCATACAAATGCGTTAAGTTTTCTATTGAATTTTTTGTGTGTTCTTATTTCCTGCACAGCTTGAATTCTCTTTTACTTACTTCATTAGATTCCACAGGATAATAGAATTCTATCTCCTGAGAATTACTAGTGCACGTGATGTTCAGTGGTTGACCCTCATCAATCTGCAGTTCTTCGACATTAGGTTCTATCTCAGGCTTTGCATTGAACACTTCAATAATTCCTAAAAACATACATTTATAATATGCATTAGGGGATACATTCCTGAAGTAAAAATATTATACTGAATTGGCATTTTCTAAATTCATGCGAAAGGGGACTTTTCTCATAATAGAAAAGATTCTCTAATATTCTCGCATCAAGGATATTTTGAATGTGTTCCTTTAATGAAAATATTCAACAATTCTAAATCACAACTTCGAATATATTTTAACTCTTTATATTATAAAAATCCAAAGCGACTTCTGGTGATGAAAATTTGGTACTTGAAATTAAGACTCCAAAATAAAGAGTCGCTCGGGTCAAAATACGGGTCGCGGGGGTCAAAATAATGGTCATAAGGGTCAGAATAAGGGTCATGAGGGTCAGAGTAAGGGTCACGAGGTTCAAAATAAAGACTACGAGTATCAAAAAAATACGCATGGTAGTATAGAATAACGAATAGGGAGTGCTAGAAATGAAATTCTTTACTTTGACAAAAGACTACAATTTTTTGGAACGACTCATGTGACCTTTCAATATTTCATTAATATTATTTCCTAAAAAGGGGATTTAGGCCGATTAAATAATGAGGACAAATGAGGGGTAAAATTAACTAAATATCTATATTTCTATTAATTTACATATTAGATCGTCGTAAGACGTTAGAAATGCCTTTTACTTGGATCTAGGGTTATGGGTAAGGCCAGGCAACTTTTGTACACGTAAAAAGGGGAGTGACTCTAATGCAGAAAAAGGGGAGAAGCTAGTCGTGTCGAGGGAATGCAACTAAATATAAAAAGAATAACTAAATGGGGAAGAAACAAAGAGTGTAGGCTCACCGTTGGGGGGTATGAAGGGTAATATTGTGGGGACAAGAGGGAAAATGAGGGGGGTAACTCGTACTCACGATGGGACTTCACTCTGGCGAACACGTGGAATCCCACCGGCGCCTTGCACTCCTTCAAAATACCAGGGCGTTTTCCTGGAGAGCCTCCTTTCCACCTCGGGGTTTCCTGGGCACCA